AGAACTCGACTAGTGCTTGCTTGACATCAGCTTCAGTTTTGAATCTTTTTTCCTGTAAAAAGTTTTGCAAAGAGAGAAACAAGTGATAATCGGAGGGTGCTATGTCTGGGGAGTATGGTGGATGCGACAGAATTTCCCAGCCTAGCTCTGCGATTTTCCGACGAGTCGCCAAAGCAGCATGTGGTCCGGCATTATCATCGGTAGCCATGTTTTCACGATCGCGTCTCGCTTAATAATGACACGAGACATCTTTGTTTCAGTTTATTTAGGAGAGTACATGCGTGTAAATGCAATGATAAAGAGAGATAGTCGTATATGTCACAAATCAACATGTGCATATGGATTGAAACTCGAAGTGACACTATCGGACAGAACTTTCCGGTAGACCTAATATTAATCGTCGGCCCGGCCGACGGTGCGAAAGGTACATGCTTAGAGGAACTGTTGCCGCGGCTATTACCATGAAAGTCGTAATACCAGCTTGACTTTCGGATTTTAGCATACGCCTTAGACGGCGCGCGCTGTATTCGATGTGAAACGGGGTACGTTTCAAATGAAAGGTGCAGGAAATTGAGACGTTTAACATTTAAACCTTTCGACGTTTCTGCCGGATATCAAGATTTTAGCAAATACAAGAAGCTATGCCCAACCTTAGAGCGGTGACTGTGGTATTCGTTGTATAGTGAATTCTCCCTAATTGCCGCTCAGATTTTACACGAAAATGGACGCAACTCGTTTTTATAGTTACGAACTTTTACGTTTTTATAGTTAAGAACGAGCTGCAAGGTTCGAATAATCGTGTCTCCTCTTCACAAGTTGTCCATTTTTGTGGACAATCTGAGCGTCAATTAGGGAGACATTACTGTATTGTTCGCGAGGTACAGGAGTTGCATGGACGTTTGTCTTTTCTCTTGATAATTCTATCGAGTTTTAGATAATACTGTGAATTTTTCCTCATTTTATTTCAGCTTGCAAATAAAATAGACAAAATTCACAAAATAGACAAAATAGACAAAATAGACAAAATAGAAAAAATAGATAAAATACAGATTCGGTCTTTTTATACAGATCGGAAGCACATGCTAGAAAGATCACGAATCGTAAATAACTTATTTTTGTGCACAATCTGAGCGGAGATTAGGGAGAATTTACTGTACAAAAAATTCGAAAGAAATTGATTTAATTTCAGCATAGAAGTTTGATTCTGTGCTTAATAATAAAATATTACAGTTTTTTTTTCTCTTGTTCGTTCGAGAAACTGTAGGACACCGTGTACATTACTGTCGGCGATTGCGTCTCGATTATTCATTAGATGCACGGCTCTTTCCGCGCCTTCTTTCTTCTGCATTTGTGCGCATTCTCGGATCCCACGGTGTGTCATTCCTAAAAATAACCCCGGAATTCCTCGAACAGGTCGCACTTATGCCAGGTTTCTCGAATCTTCCCTCTCGAACATCCGAACCGGCATCGGCAGGGTTGCCAAACAGAAAGATCCCGTGCGGTCGCCAGTCTAAATATAACCTTAACAACTCTTTACGGAGTTTAATACGATATTTCTCGTTCAACTTTTTAATCCTAATTAATGTACTTCGCTGATCTTAACGCGGGGATGCACCGGTATCAGGATATTCGCGCAAAAACTATAGCATCGCGTTAATAAATACGCGTTAATAAATCGCGTTAATTAATTACGATTTGCAATTCTGTAAATAGAAACTCTCGAAGATACATATAAGCGACAAACTTTCTTCAGATTTCTAGGAATTTATAATCAGCGAGCTTAAGCATCTGTCAAGTATTTGAGCGTCCGAAACGGTAAATAGTTTCATGAAAGTGTCACGATAATTAACAAAATTTAGCTACGTAGCTTAAAATTCGAATGTTATCGTGATCTTTCTCGGAATCGCAATTTTTTAACATGGGTACACGGTTTGAAGTGATTCGACTCGAACTTCCTTGGACTAAAATTTAATAATATGATAATTTTAGTTATTCGAATTTACATTATTATTGTATATAATAATTTTAGTTATTCGAATTTAAATTATTATTATATATAATAATTTTAGTTCGAGTCGAGTTGAAAATTTATATCAATTTATATTATTTGCTATTAAATAATACTTGCTATTAATTTATTAGTTTTATTGCTAACTTAGTTACTTACTTATTATTAAATTTATAATTCAGTCATTTGTTTACTTACGTCAAATTACGACGACATTGTACTTGAATTGCACCAAATTTTATTTTTCGTAGTATTTTTTTCGAGTATCCTCCGTTCTCATTTTCATTAAAAAAAATCGTTCGGCAGAGCAGATTCTGTCCGCATTACACTTTCATTAAGGAAGAAAAAGATTCCGATCGCGTCGCAACACGACGGAATCCGTAAAATGATCCATGACCCTGCTCCTCCGCTCATAAGTAGAATATCCCCGCCACGCGCAGCCCAGACGCAGATAATCAATCGCGAAAGTAAAATTGCCGAAGTGAGGCTGAAAACCATGTTCCTCGCTTTCGAAACCGACAGTAATTAATTATATCTCCGCGTTATTATCAACCAGAGCATGAAAGAAAGACTTTCGCGGCGTTTAACATTCGACGACAATTAATTTTCGATTTCGACGCCGGCATCGAACGCCGTTTTTTCGATAGAAACAGCGTTTAGGGAGACGCTCGATCTTTTTCGGACGCACCCATCTCTCGGCGAGAATAGAAAATTCTCCCTTGCGAGGCGAGGGAGCTCCAGAAAACACGAGTATCATTTATCAGGCAACCTCTCCCGCGACGAATTTATTAAAGAATTACACGCGCTCTGGCTTCCGCGAGGATAATTACACGGTCGTTTACACGGGAAAACAAAAGACGAGAGCGGTTGTGTAACAAGATGCTGCTTCGAACAATTCCGACGAAAAACTCTCTTGAAGATTCCCGAGAAACGGCGAACTTCTCGTGCCGCACGATAACTGGTCCGAAACAATGATTCGCAACTGTTGAAAGCTATTGTATATTCGATTGAGAAAATGTATGAGTGTATGAGTTCCGAGACGAATAATTCTGATAATTCATTATCTATGTACATTGTGTTATCAATTAACGATTAATCAAATGCTTTGAAACCGTAACATATGCTAACAACATCTAGATGTTGATCAAACTGTATGATTAGAATCGTTCGCACGTTGATTATTAATTTTTCATTCGATTTCGAAACTAATTTACATTGTGATATATTCGAAGAAAGAAAGAAAGAAAATTTTGGTAAAAATCGCGCGATGGAACTGCGATTTTTGCGGTCTTCAATTTGTCGTAACTCGAAACAACGTGAACCGATTTCGATAAAATTTTCAACATGGATACAAGTTACCGAGATCTACGAAAGACATTTTTCAAAGTTTCGTTACAGGCTCAGACAAAAAGTTAAAAAAACGAGAAATTGTTATCTCTTCGTCATTCCAAGTAATAGCAAAATTAAAAAAAGAAAACATCATTTCACTCATCGTCTAGTAAACTAGTCCCTCTATCGTCTAAAAAAAAAATAATTCGAGCCACTTGGTTCAATTTTATAATAGTTACAGCGTTCTAAAAGATGTACGAACGCTTTCGTGGCCCGCTGTAGATTGCTTTTAAATTTCCAATCCAGCAAAATGAATCTCGTGATGTGCCTAGGAAAACGCCAGGTAACTAAACCTAATTATTATAAATCCACGAATCTCTCGAAAATTCGAAAAAGAATACTACAAAGTATTGCACGGGATCGATCCTTCCACGGTGCAACAATCGCACGCCGTAAGGTGGTCAGGCAAGCTCGAAAACTTCGAGCAGCGTGCGACGGTCGCTTTCCATTCACAGGGCCATTCACACGCGGCGCAGCTTCCACGAAGAGAAGCCGCGCTGGGGCCTCCTCGAGAGGCCGGCCGCGGCCGGAGAGGTCGGTGTTGGTGGAGATTCGGCAGGTGTACAGGTGGAAACAGGTACGTACGCGCGGTGCGTGAGCGAGCGAGCGAACGAGCGAGCTAGCGAGGGAGGGAGCGCACACGGACAGGGTCGCGCACACGAGAAAGCCGGTGAACGGTAAAGAACAGGTATTTAAATGAGAAACCGGATAGTCGATTCTACCTGGCTCGGTAGAGGACGCCACGTCCTCCTCGGCAAGTGCTTACGTGCCAGACGACTTCCAAGAGCCTTGTTCCCCGTTTCTCCCCACCCCTCTACGTCCTTCTCGCTTATTCATCGGCCGCACAGGCTCCCGGAGCCGGTCCTTTCACTCGCTAACGTGTTCACTTGTTCACTCGCACGTCCCACTGGCTGCTTATTTACCTACCCACACCACGGCTCGATCTGTCCCACTCGCTCCTCCGCTCGTCGTCCTCATCGTCAGCATGCGCCGGGCCCTTTCTCCGTCTCCCTCTCTCTTGCCCCTCTCTATCGCGCTACCAGTCACCGAGAACGCTCCGCGGCCTCCCCACTCCTCGGCGAAACGACTCGACGACGCTCCCACTACCTGTGCCCCCTCGCTAGGGCCCAACTTGGCCCCCCACCCGGCCTACGAAACTGCATGAGTAAGTGTCAGAGCCACTCAGTACAGTTACTGACGGCCCGTACCGTGAACGATCGCCGTCCCCGTCTCCGTCGTCTTCGTTGACATCGTCGTCGAGTTCGTTCTACCATGCGCTGCACTCGATAGACATATGCAGTCAGTAAGTGTCGGAACACTCGTATCTTGCTCTCTGGATCACCTGCGCTCTCCCTTCGCCGTCTCTCGTTCGTCCTCTCTCTCTCTCTCTCTCTCTCTCTCTCTCTCTCTCTCTCTCTCTCCTTCTCTTTCTCTTTTTTTCTCGCTGTCTCTTTTCGGTCCCTTCCGCCGCAATCGTCCCCGGGGACAGATTTTCTGTAACTCGCGCCGTTCGCAGGTGCGCCCCGCGCGAATAAACGGACCTCTTCACCACGGCCGTCCCACGAGTGCTGTAAATGCGACCGATTGATCCTCCGGCCGCGATAACGATCACCGATGCGTCGCGCTGTCGTCGCCCGATCCTCCGATTCGCCTGACCAAAGCCGCGCCTGATCGAGTCGGCTGCCTTTCTCCTCTCGAGCGGAGACTACTGGCATCGAGGTATCGCCGGTCGCGGTCGTTCCCAAAAATTTTGTCCACGGTTTCGAAAGTGACGAGTTCTTGTTGCAAAGCGTGCCCTGAATGAACGATCCATCTGGAGACGGTCTGGAGATCGCTTCGCCTTCGGCGCCTTTTCAGCTTTCAAAGGGAACGGTCCCGAGCGTTCCTAGATTCGCTGGCGACCACTCATTAACGCGGAGGTTTCATTCATAAATTGTAGAGCTCTGTTAGGTGTCTTCGAAGAGAGAACGAGTGAGACGCAGACAGAGAGAAAGAGAGAGAAAGAGACAAAGATAGAGAAAAAGAACGAGGGAGAGAGACACAGGGACACCGTGACAGAGTGACGGAGACGCGTAAAGAGAGAAAGAGAGAAAGAGAGAGAGAGGGCGGGCGACAGTGGGGGAAGGTTCGTAAAGAGAGCAACCGAATAGCTGGTTCGATCGGTGGTCAGGTGTAGTTCCATGAAGAAGTGACAGTGGTTTCGGATGTGTATATGGACGAGACCGCCACGATGACCGTTCCACCGACACTGCCGGCGAAGGCCCAGGCCCGGGATGCGAGTCAGGTTGCCCGACAGACTGTGTCAATCCGGACTGTTTCGAGTCCCCCCACGGCCACTCTGAGCACCGGGGCCGGAGCAACGGTATTCGTCGGACTGGCCGCTGCTCCTGGCGTTGATTCCGCGGCAGCCTGCAGGAGAAGAATCCCGGAAGTGCAATCCGCGAACGGCTACGGTAAGCAGAGCAGCGTGAAGTCGGCGGCGCAGTGCCAGCAACAGGCTGCTATACCCCAGCAACAGCAACAGCAACAACAGCAGGCGGCTCACGTGGTTAAGATCAAGATCAATCCGGACGGCGAGAAGAACGGCCGGGTGATCTCGACGGTCAGGCTGACGCTGGACGAGAAGATCGGCCAGGAAGCCGGCGAGAAAGAGAACGGTAACGCGTGCGAACGTTCGAGCAAGCGTGACGGTGGTGTGGTCGTGAGTGCGACGAATCTGGTGAACGAGCAGCGTTGTGGAAGTGCCGGTGCCGGTGACGGCTGTGTGAGGATCAGTGTCGGCTGCAACGCGTTCGAGCGCAACAACAACAACCCCAACAGCAACAACAACAACAACAACAACACGAATAACAACGTGAACAGCAACGAGAACAACAACCACGACAAGCACGATCGCAACAACTCGGAGAAGGACATGGTGCACCGCGACACCTCGGACCCCTTGAATTCCGGCAGCAACCGGTCGAACGCCTGCTTCTACTACAACTATCAGAGCCCGTTGACCGGGATGGTGATGTCGTCGGGCCAGTGTTCGCCGAGCGACACGTTGGACAGCGGCACCTGCAGCGACCTGGACGGCACGCCGCCGCCGTTGCCGAAGAAAAAGAACGCGAGCAGCACCGTTCTACTGTCCTCGGACCAGCACAAACGGACCGGCAGCTTGACCAGCAGCGGCGCGGACGTGGACAGCGACGACAACGAGAGCAACATCAGCTGCGACTCGTTGAACGCCGGTGACCTGAGCGACGGGATCGTCGGTCGCAACGCGAACGGCACAATCGAGCCGGATCGTCGATCGTTGGACTATCAGGAGCACCTGGGGAACGGTATAGAGGATCGTGCCAAGGACACCGTTCTCAGCCTGAACCGGCTGGACCTGGCGGACGGGGCCGAGCACGTGGACCCGGCGAACAAGGACGCCGGGTCTGTCGCCGGGTCGTCACCGGAAGCCGAGTCGAATTCCTGCTCGTCCAGCGAGTCTCGCAGCGTCTCGCCGTCACCGTCCGCGGCGTCCACTTTGTCGAAGGCGTCGTCGACGCCGCGGATCAGGAGCCCGGACCCCGGCTGCGAGCCGAACGGGAAACCGTTGTCCTCGCCGGTGGTGAAGGAGTGCACGTACGAGGAGAGGAAGCAGGAGCAGGAGAGGCGGATCGTTCAGGAATCCGTGAACACCGGCGACGCCGACACCGCTGTGAATCCGGTGACCGGCAAGAAGTACGTGTACGAGTACGACAGGTTCTACAAGTTTCACGTGAACGAGCTCAAGGGGAACAATAAGGACGCGAGCAGGGGAATGGTGTTGGGGGATAAGGACACCGACGAATGTTTTGCCGGGTACAAGATCCTCGATAAGGAAGCCATACGCAGTGCCAAGGGAACTGTGCGCGGTGTCAAAAACAGGGTGCGCGCCGGCATCGCGACGTTTCTGCAGAAACCATCCTCGCAGGTCGGTGCCTCGCCACACACAGCATTTTTACACCTCATCTCTAACGTCGCGCTTTTCTACCGACGTATATTCTATATACCGTATTCCGCTCGCAGCCGACGACGACGAGGAATTCCTGTTGCGTGCCAATTAACGGCCGATCCTGCCCGCCTCGGAATTCTAAACAGCTCGGCGCGAACACCGCGCCGCGCCGCGCCGTGCCGCGCGGGCAAGCGAATGAAAACTTTAAATTAGCCGATGTTTATCGGCCGCGAGCGAGAGACCGTGCTCGCGGAAGGCTATCCGCGCGTAGAACCGCGAGCCTGCCCGAGGGGGTAAAAATAGACGGGCCACCCGGGAAACAGGTTCAAAGAACTGCGAGAAAACGCGCGCGGCTCGGAACTTTTCTTGTTAAGGGCGTTCTCGATTCTCGAATTCAGTCCTTTTTTTTCTCCTTCTTCTTCTTGTTTAGCGACGAATCCCATCGAATTTGAAGCCGATCGATATTTCGGCTGAACTTATCGAAATTAAAATTTTCGCGTTACAGTAATGTCTCCCCAATTGACGCTCGGATTGCGCAGAAAAGTGGACAATTTGGGGAGAGGAGACACGATTGTTCGAGCCTCGTTTTTATAGTTGTTGGCATTCGGTAATAATAAGAATGTGGCGCAAGGCTCGAATAATCGTATCTGCTATTCCCAAATTGTCCATTTTTGTGTGTAATCAGAGCGAAAATTAGAGAGAATTCACTTGTATCGGCGAACCTGGGAGATTTTTATCCAAATTAAAATTTTCGCGTTACAGTAATGTCTCCCTTACTGACGCTCGGATTGTACACTAGAATGTATCCTTTGGGAAGAGGAGATACGATTATTCGAGCGTTGCGGCTCGTTTTTAGTAGTTGTCGACAATCGGTAAATATATAAGAACGAGCCTCGAGGCTCGAATAATCGTGAGAGTACAGCAATTGTCGTCAGAATGCGATAAAAGTCTCCAAAAATGCTTTGATCGCGATATTTTGGAAACTTGAACGCGTATCTTCGAGCCTGGGAGTCGGAGGTCACTGCGAGGCCATGTCCAATGTCTTTGAATGCATTTTAATTGCTGATAGAATTGCATTAAAAAATATACTCTTGCTGTCAGTGACGAACGTAATCTTCATTTTGTATGTGTACAGTAAAGTCTCCCTAATTGACGCTCACATTGTTAACAAAAATGAACAATTTGGGAAGAAGAAATGCGATTATCCGAGTCTTGCGGTTCGTTTTTATAGTTACGAATTGTCAACAACTGCAAAAAGCGAGCTACGAGGCTCGAATAATCGTATCACCTCTTCCCAAATTGTCCATTTTTGTGGTCAATCTGGGCGTCAATTAGAGAGACATTACTGTATTCCGATCTTACGTTATTTTTGTCAGGTTTTGCGTGTTTCAATGATTTTTATTCAGACAGCCTTCCGTAAGTTCAACAATTTTAAACGAAACGTAAGCAATTCCGACGATCGATTTTGCTTCTTCTACGAGCCAAACGCGCGAGAAGAACGCAACGGCTAGCGCAACTGCTAATATGTCTACCTGTCGCAAGAAATTCGTAAGGGCAGAATTGGTTGAAAATTAAACGTGCCTGAGACATTTTTCGCTCGATTCGCTCGACCGTCGATAAGATATCGCGGCAACAATGAGCTATTTATAACGAAACTAGTCGCTCGAGGGAAGCGATCTCCTCTCGCGATAATTCGCTCGATAGCTTCATCAGTGTTGCCTGCAGCGGGGAATAAAAAATCCCAGATGTTCGTTAAATATGCATGAGCAATTAGAGGCGAGGGATTCATGAAAACGCGCGGACTGGTTTGTTAGAGAGAAAAAATCTGCGTATCGCAGCCTCGCGAGGGTATATGCCCTGCGGAAGCCCTGAGAAAGTTCTGCGCTCGTTTTGCGCCGGCTCGTCCTACGCGTCGCCGTAAATAAACGGCGAGCATGATGCAACGATCATTGTTATCTAATGCCGCTTCCTATTTCTCGGCCGGCTTACTTATATCCTATTCGTGCAGGTATTCTCGCGTGGCTTTTTTTCTTCTAATTGGTGACGCTCGGGGAGCGTGCGCCGCGCTTCCTCGTTGCCGCAACAGTGTAACGCACTTTTAAGAATACGCTGGAACATCCATTACTGAGTCCGAGGAGGAGGAAGCCGGAGAGCGGCCGGTGTTCGATCGAATGAACCTACCTGGTTACGTTGCCGGCGAGCGAGCGCACTTTTAATTCCCTGTAATTATTTTGTTTACCTTGGCAGCGCGACTTCCGGAACTCGGAATACCTCGGGATAACGAGGCATCGTCGTCGCGTACTTCGTTAAGAACTTCGATTTTTTTCGACGCTCATTAACGCGATTTTAATACTATTCCGTTTCTCTTGCCGACCCCGAGTTCCTAGAAGCTATCTCGAATGTTAAAGGTCGCGAGCCACGGCGATTCTTCCCTGATCGTGTCGGCGCAAAGGAGGGCTTGATTGGGTTTGCAGTTTAATGGAAGAGAACGGCGCCGCAGCGGCGGTTGCATCGAAAGAAAGCTAATGGAGATATTTAACATTCTCCGCTCGTATAACATTGTCAATGGATCCGCGAGGATTCCATCAGCGAGGAGCGCATAATTTCCGCTCGCCATCATTTAACGGAGGGCTCGCTGCAACGTTTCCATTAATTCGATCGCGTCCACGCGAATGCTTTAAATAACTGCATTATCGGAACTTTCTTTCTGTTATGGTAATCCCGTTTACAACGATACGGTGTTTCGATAAATGCAGCGAATCTCCGTGAAACGTCGAAACATTCGTCGCATTCTAAATAAAGCTGTACGTGTACAGTGATGTCTCTCTGACTGACGCTCAGATTGCGCACTAAAAATGGACAATTTGGGAAGACGAGATACGATTCGACTCGAGCTTTGCGGTTCGTTTTTATAGTGCTTGACAATTCGTAATTATGAGAACAAACCGCAAGGCTTGAATAATCGTATTTCCTCTTCCCGAATTGTCCATTTCTGTGGATACAGTAATGTCTCCCTTACTGACGCTCACATTATGCAGAAAAATGGATGATTTGGAAAGAAGACATACGATTATTCGAGCCTTGCAGCTCATTTGTATAGCTGCTGAGAATTCGCGAGTATAAAAATGAACCGCAAGGATCGAATAATTGTATCTCCTCTACCTAAATTGTCCATTTTTGTGGACAACCCGAGCGTCAGTAAGGGAGACATTACTGTGATCTGAAAGGGAGACATTACTGTGAAAATGATCAATCCTGTCTCCTCTTCCCAAATTGTCCATTTTTCGTGCGCAATCTGAGCGCGAAAATTATGGAGAAATTACTGTAATTATAGCAAATACTTTGACCAGTTGGCGCACCTCGTCGCTAAATACAGTGACTTCTCCCGAACTTTCCTACCTGTAAACAAAAATGGAGAATTTGGGTAGAACAAATACGATTATTCGAGCCTTGAAACTCATTTTTATAGTTGCCGATTGTCAACAATTATAAATTCGAGCCGCAATGCTCGAACAATCCTGTCTCCTCCCGAACTGTCCATTTTCGTGCGCAATCAGACCGCGAATTAGTAAGACCGTGCTCGTCGATCTCGTAAAACGCATCGTTCGCGCGACACTTTAGAAAGCGCGCGGGGCGACTATAATGCATCGCAAGAAAGTGTTCCACGGTGAAATGTCGCGCGATCCATAATCAATCCGGGATAACATTCCCAGCCGTAGCAACGGCGGAACTTTTCCAGCATTTCCCGTTCCGCGGCTTCGAAACGCAGCTGACCAAGATAGACCGCGCGACCGGGGCCAGGGTGGTGAAAGGCAATCCCAAAGGTCAGACGGGTACGGTGTCGAAAAATCGGCTTATGGTCGGTCTAGATTCTGGCCGCGGAAGAGCGAGACCGCCGCGTTCGCGTCGCCAGCTGTTAACTGCGAGCCATCGTCGCGTCGCTATTCACAAAGGTCGTGCAATAATAAGGTGCTAAGCGACGAGACAAAGAGCTGCGTAGAGCTCTTTAGCCTAGCCTAGAGCCTCGGCGCGCGCGGGGGGGTTTAGGTCTCGCGCGAATCCTCGATTTGTTATGCTAATCAGCCTGCGACACTGAGACCGGCTGACCAGCGCCGCGAACAGGGTCGTATCGAACGGCTGTGTTCGCAGGCACGCTCTCGTACCTGGGTGCACTTGACTCTGTCGGCTCTTGAAAAGCGTTAGATGTACAGTTAGATCACCTCTTGTCCGCCGCGGCGTGCAGGTGGCTGATCGGTTCGGATCGGCGACGTCGGCCGGCGTCGATCGATGACGTCGGGAGCCGTCCTCGGCCCTGATGCACCGTTTCCGGCGTTGCCGCGCCGGAGCGTGCCGCGCGGACGCGCCGCATCGGCGAATCGTATCGTCGATGCAGAACGAATCGACATAACGGTAGATCCGATAAAGCGATATTACGGCAACGAGCGGAGAGCGTGCTCTCTCTCGGTGTCCCTAGCGGGAAACCGGTCTTCCGAGGGATCTCCTCGCCTCTTCCGCGTCTGCTCTTCCGAATTCCTCCGCGCCCTCTTCATTCATGCGCCCTGTCCTCTCTGTGACCGAACGTCCCTTTTGGCCCAAAAACTGGTGCTCCCAGTTTTCCGCAATTTAATCGCGGAGAGCTTGTTAGGAGGGCCGAGGATCTCCGCGAAGGCCGAGGCGACGCCGCGTGAAATTAGAGACCCGGCGAGAGAAACGCGTGCACGAGAGATCGATGAGAGATCGCGATTCTTTTATCCGCGTCCCCCGGAGATTTCGGAGCAGCGTCGACGCGATCGACGCGCTCCAGCCGAGACGGCTCGCCGCGGCCACGGGCGAGCGGAGTTTCGAGAGCTCGGGCCAGAAGAGAAATCTGTGATTACGCTCCTTTTTTGTCGGCCCGGTAAAAAGCGAGTCAACTTGTCGTGGTCCACTTGCAACGAAACTCATTTAGACCGGGCCGAGCCGTAATAAGTGGTTCATTT